CACTTCATGTTGCGAAGTGTCTTCCATGAAAAACCCAATGATGAAAACGGGGAGCCCGGACGGACGGCAGCGCACGCACACTGCTCAGTGCAGGTGCCTGTGGTCGCCTCAGTCCCACTTAGGAAGTTTTTCAAGCGTAAGAGTAGAAATGGAAGTGTGAAAAAGACGTTTATGATTTTGAAGACACTGCTATGACCATCCTTGCCATCACATACGTATCAGCTAGCTCAGGAGACAGGTTTGACACCACAACTTGCTACCAAAACCTTTACTAAGAGATTACAAGTAGTTAAATTCCTTGCCAAGGTTTGTGGTGGAGGTGGAAATGGATAGATGGGAAGCAGTTATGTTTAATGAATGCTCTTTCAGTTCTATGGCAAGCAGAAAGGATAATTACGTGTACATAAACCACTGTAATTTACAGCATCAGCTCTGGACTGAGCTGTTCTCAAATTCCAACCATGACACTGAGGCCATGACGTTGCTTCCTTATCCCGGTAGCTGTCAATCCAGCGGCACCCTAGAATCACCGGGAAGCTTATAAAATACTGCTCAGGACCCACTCTGAGAAATTCAAGCCAAATGCCAACATCTCATAATTCTAGTAAAGAAGCCCCTTAACACCTACTCCATAAAACTGCTGTTAGGACTGACGCTTTTAAACGGCTTTAGCAGTTACATGCTCTGCATGGCACGCACTTAAAGGTCAGAGATGTAGCCCTTAATACTTCAGGTCACATACAGCAAATGGAATGCCTAATGCTTATTACATATCAGAGTCCAGTACAAAAACAATGTAGTCAGAATCTTTTGGAGAACTCACACTTTTTCTTCCAGTTTTAAAATTATGGAATTAAGGGACTTCCCTGGTGGTGCAGTGATTAAGAATTCTCCTGCTAATGAAGGAGACACGGGTTCAAGCCCTGGTCTCCGAAGATCCCACATGCCGCGGAGCAACTAAGCCTGTGAGCTACAACTACTGAGCCTGTGCTCTAGAGCCCGCGAGCCACAACTACTGAAGCCCGTGCGCGTAGAGCCCGTGCTCCACAACAAGAGAAGCCACTGCAATGAGAAGCCCGCACACTGCAACGAAGAGTAGCCCCCGCTCACCACAGCTAGAGAAAGCCCGCGTGCAGCAAAGACGACCCAACGCAACCATAAATAAATAGAAAGATAAACAAAATTTTTTTAAAATTATGAAGTTTAACTTAACACGGTTGCAACCAGTACTAATTCATATTAAGGCAAACACATCCCAAAACAGGGAATAAGAGACAGATGATAAAAGACAAATATGTGCTGAAAACTTCTTTGGCAGCCCCAAATTCTCAAGATTTTGCTTCCAACACTTAGAGTAGACAAGGTTACAAATGTACTTGTAACAGACAGCATGTTCTGAATGTTTTCTGGAAGAGTAAACCACCCCAAAGCCCTGTGCTACTAATCAAAGGTAAACGTGCAGTTTTTTGTTCTGCACTGGACTCCTGAAAACACAAAACACTATGCACAGGGGCCTCGGATGTTACCAAGTCACTAACTTCATTCCATCACTGTGGCCTTTCACTGCAACACAGCATACAGGTTTTGCGGGGAGGACTGGAATTCCTGACTTATCTACGGCAGGGAAAGGGAAGAATCTTCTCAGTTGCTTTTTTTTTTTTTTTTTTTGGTATGCGGGCCTCTCACTGTTGTGGCCTCTTCCGTTGCGGAGCACAGGCTCCGGACGCGCAGGCTCAGCGGCCATGGCTCACGGGCCCAGCCGCTCCGCGGCATGTGGGATCTTCCCGGACCGGGGCACGAACCCGTGTCCCCTGCATCGGCAGGCGGACTCTCAACCACTGCGCCACCAGGGAAGCCCTTAAAGTGTCAAAGCAAGAATGCACCGACCAGTAAAATTAGCATTTCTAAAATTTGTTTTGCTAGATAAGCAGTAAGATGCAGGCTCTGTGGTTCGTCACAGCTAAAAACTATTAACAGTGTGGCTTTCTTTGCTGTGTGTATCTAAATTAGATGGAATAGAGAATTAAATGAGCTAGCCACCTGCAGCTAGGTGGACTTGATTCTCCTGGGGGACAATGTCTCACTGCCATGATTTAGAAGCCAGGAACCTGACCTCCTGACCCTGGAACTGCTACATGCTAAGGACAGACTATTCCATGAATAATTTAACATATAAAATAATCAAAATAACTGAAGCTCAACAGCCACAATCTTCCCAGACAAAATCCTTCAAGGCACTCTTTTCCCTACAACTTCAACAGAAATTTGACTATTTCTATTAAGAAAATCAACTTTTCCTTAATGGGTAATACTCAGTATTTACCGGGAACCTCAAAACCACGAAGGGCACTGTATCACTCGGTACCACCTGGCTTTGCCGGACCAGGGAGCAACATTCTCCATTTCTCCCAACTGCGCAACAAGTTTACGAACTCAAGTCAACATCTGCACGGGGGCAATAAATGCTAAAAGCCTCAGTGCACGGGTGATGAAGACCGAGACATTCCGGACTGTTTGGGAGAAACGCACACCGCTACAAAGAAAGAAAGAGGCTGCCTTAAATGACCGTTCTGTATCAAGAGTAAAACTGATGTAACACAACATTACACACTTGGAAGACACTCTCGCCAACACAAGTTCAAGCTGACCCTAATCACCAGGAAATAAAGGGGATATAAACCAGTGAAATGACACCAAGGAAAATCAATCAGTAAACATAGGGCACTCAAGAAAATCGTGCCGGTTTCAAAAAAAAAAAAAAAAATCAAGCTTATGAGGCGGGAAAAGTTAGGAAAGACTGAGGAAACGTACCAACCAAATGCAACTAACTTACAAACCCTGACTGGATCCTGGTTTGGGAAAACTGGCTATGCAAGGCTTTTTTGATACAACTGGGGCTATCTCAACAGTTGTATTAGGGATCAGATGGTACTAGGGAAATAATGTCAAATTTCTTAAGCATGACAGTGGTATCGTGATGCTGAGAGAGGACATCCTAGTTCCCACAAGATGCATGCCAAAACAGTCACACCTACAACTTACTCACAAACACCTCTGGACAACTGTTCACTGTTATATCTAGGGGTGGGGACACGTAAGTGTTCACTGTACTGGTTATTCTAAATACCACTTACAAAACCCTTCAAAACAGGCTTGTAGGCAAGAGCTCCTCCTGGTCCACTCACTGAAGTCCCTGATCAAGAAGCTTCAAGAAGTTGAGGAGAAATAGCTATTCTACAAGCACGCAAAACGGAGGCAAACGCTAACAGGTGAAAGATGCTACCTCCAAACAAGCCTCACTTTTGACAAAACCATTCATGTATCAAGGCAATGTTACTATCTGAAAACTGTTTTTAAAAAGTAGCCTTAAGGACTTCCCTGGTGGCGCAGTGGTTAAGAATCTGCCTGCCAATGCAGGGGACAGGGGTTCGAGCCCTGGTCCGGGAAGATCCCACATGCCGCGGAGCAACTAAGCCCGCTCGCCACAACTACTGAAGCCTGTGCACTCTAGGGCCTGTGTGCCCCAATGACTGAACCTGTCTGCTGCAACTACTGAAGCCCACAGGCCTAGAACCCGTGCTCAACAAGAGAAGCCACCGCAATGAGAACCACACGCACCGCAACGAAGAGCAGACCCCGCTCTCGCCAGAACTAGAGAGAAGCCCACACGCAGCAACCAAGACCCAATGCAGCCAAAAAATAGAGTTAAAAAGATATCTAAAGAAGCATTAAAAAAAAACACAAAGTAGCCTTAAAACCAAGTCTGACAGCAAAGCATTAAAAGCCTACACAAAGTGCTCATTGGCTCCTAGCAATTAGCTCAATATCCCTGTAAAACACATGTTCTCACTGGACTTGTTCAGTCATCAAGGTCAATGCAAAGAAATGTTACCTTATGAAAGCACACTTCGTGGTCTGTTTCAAATAGGTCCTTAATTATGTGCATCAAAGGGTCTCGAACAAAAGGCAACTGCTAGGTACTACAAACGCAGCGTGCTACGTTGCAACAAAGCAGTTTTAAATATCTCGTTTGCTGTTTTATGTTTCCCACTTGAGGTTGGAAACATTGGGGGAAAATAACCTCATGTGCACTGGCCCCCAACCCTGAATTTAATTACATGTAACAGTGATGTCTTTGAAAACAGGGCTTCCCTTACGCTGTCTCATGCTTGTGCTAGAAACTAAAAAAAATTCTAACAGAAAGTAAGCTTGTACTCAAAAGGAAATGAACCCATGTCGTGATTTCATTTTCTTGCCTACTCTGGACTATTAATTTGACCAAGCTGGAATTAGCACAGCACAGCTGAAACACCAAATCTTAACACTGCAGTGATACACCAACACAAACTGACCAGACTTTACATGGAGGGTGAAAAATGCACGATACATCCAAGGTGAAATCACATGGCGGTGTGAAGGAGGAACAAATGAACTAACCTGGGGAAGCATGTGCCACTAACTGTATGTAGTTTGGGGTGGGGTGGGGGGGACCACAAAAAAGTACAGAGGGCATAGGGTAGGAAGCTTACTTCAAGTTCCCGGCTCTAGGCACCCTTCAAGCAAGTTAAGCTTCTAGTAACTCACCTATAAAGTGAGTTTATTAAACCAGGTAACTTCAAAGGTCCATCTCAACTCTAGCTCAGACCCTAGGAAAAAAAGAAGGAATCCAGCATTTCAGATCCCCCTAAAGCCCAGGAAGAATATGAAATGCTAAAACAGCAATGGTATTAGAACTGTTCAGAATGAACACAGAGCTAAAGGCCATCATTATAATGAATGGATTAGAACGAATTAAATTTTCTATATCCCTGCAAAACAACTGACCCCAAAGTATCTGAAGCCTGTGCTTCCATGTAACAGCTATTTTTCATTACTGAAGACATAACTTAGTACAAAAAGAAAAGTCCAAACTGTGAGCTTTCAGTCCTCCACATTCCCCTGTTTAATATGGCATTTTGCACTATATACATTAATGAACATCTGAAACAAGCAGAAAGAACTTGAGCCAAACTCCCCTTCCTCCTCCAGCTTTATTGGATAGTTTAAAGTTACACTTCTAGTTTCTAGGACTTCAGTCGCTTTTTACCATCTGACCTTTAAGAACTGATTACAACAAGTGAAACACAGTTGTCTAAGTGATACAGTATACAAAAATAACATCTTCATTTCTGTGAAAATGCACTTCTCTGCAATTCCTGAATAGCTCCAAATTATGCTAGCTCTGAGCATAGATGTTTACTCTGGGTTTTAGATTTAGTCTTTGAAAAAATGTGTTCTACACCTTTGCCATCGCCATCTGTTTACCCAGCATCAACGCTGCGGGGAAGTTGTTCCTGTTCAGGCTTTTATCCCAAGTTTTCTCGCACAGCCGTTAACACGCATGTTTGGTTTTTATTTTGTTTACTCCCAGTCAACTGTATGTCCTATGTAGGGCCTGATACAGATGTTACTTGATGTTATTTAACAGCTACTGAGGTCAGACAATCCAAGGCAGTCATTATGCTAAAATTAAAGTTATTTATGGAAGAGCTCAAGGACGCTTCCAGGATTGGTTTTTACCTCCTACATGGGAACATATTCGAGAAACCCAGAATGGGCTTACTGGTCTGACTCAACTCTTCCCATTCATCAATCCCTATTCACCAGTGGCGCGGAAAGGGGGTTCTTTAACAAAGCATTATACGTAACACCTCTACCAAACTAAACATAAACTTTTTTTTGTAGTTAAATGCAGGAAGTCGGTTTTTTTCCACCCCTTTCCTCCTTTTACACGGCAAGTAAAGCTCACTGGCCTGGGAGTAGCCTCTATCTGCCAACCTTTGGCCAGTGAAGAGGATTCAATCAGAAAAGGAGGGGCGACAGAGGACAGTAATTAAGCCGTGGCCTCGATCGTGCACTCCCGTGCAAGGTGCCCTGACTCGCCACAGCGGTAACAGTTGACTTCACTCGTCTTGCTGCAGTTGATGGCTACATGACCAGTCTCGCCACACCTAAAGAAAGGAAAGTAGAACAACTTCATAATAGCGCTCAGAAAATGCCCAACTGGACTAAAGCAATAGTTACTGCAGAACAAAAAGCAACAATAAACCAGTACAGTTTTGTTTTCAGGACAGTAAGTCTTATTATCCCCTAAACTAAGACCAAAAAGGAGGAATTTGATAGCGAAGCTACCCAATTGTGCAGCCTAAGGCATAAAACCAAAACCTTTGCCGTAAGAGTCCAACCGACACCACAACCAAATCACTGGCCAATGTTATACTTTCACACAAATTAACCCCTAAGATTTCACAGTTATATACATATCAAAACTTATATAAAATTTTACACTTTCACGTGTACGTATTATTATATGTCACAGACAGGCAGAGTCTTCTGGTTTCATGACAGAAGATTTGTGTGTATGAATTACACGGTTTTCTACAAAGTGTCTGAAAACCCCAAATTATTATAACAGAAAATTTTTTTTTGGTGGGGGGGGGCCCCCACCCTGCACAGTAGGCGGAATCTTAGTTCCCTGACCAGGGACCAGACCCATGCCCTCTGAAGTGGAGGCACGCACGGAGTCCTGACCACTGGACCGTCAGGGAAGTCCCAACATTCTTATTTTGAGACCATTAAAAATTCCAAAGTTGTGCCGCGTGCCGCCCAGCTGCTATAACCCACCAGGCATCACGGTAGGACACTGCCCAAGGCAGACAGTTGGGCTACGCAGGCCGGAAACCTCTCCTACGGTCGCAGCCACCTCAGGGAAGGTACTACCGCCACGGCCCTCCCATTTACAGCCAACTCACTCTCCAGGAGCCCCTGCAATGAGCTCTCCGCCAGCAGCATGCCAGCAACTCACCTATAGCACTTCACTTTGGTGCAGTCTTTCTGAATGTGTCCGAACTCTCCGCAAGAATAGCACTTCTGCTCGTCTGCGTGGTCACAGTCGCGGGCCAGGTGGCCGGGTTTGCCGCAGTTGTAGCAGCACTGCTCTCGCTCCCGCTTGGGCTCCTTGCAGTCCTTGGCAATGTGACCTCCCCGGCCGCAGTTATAGCAGGCTTCAACAATAAGGAAAAGAAGCAGACCAAGACTATAAAACCTTACAGACGCCGCTACATGTCAAACCACACAGCACACACCCTCAGAGGTGGAAAATGTCTTCCAACGCAGTAGAGCGTGCTTGCACGGAGAGGAAGTGTTAAATGCTTACCATCCTCCTGCAGATCACAATCCTTGGCAAGGTGACCAGACTCACCACAGCGGTAACAGATGTCTGGAAGCGATGAGGAAACAAACTGGAAACCTATTTTGGGCAGAAACAAAAAGAATTTGGCTATTTAGACCAGTCTTGATGCTTACGAATACTGAAGTACTTCAAAATTTTTTATTCGACAAAAATACCTCTATCCGAGGTAAAACCACCTCTGCCACGGCTTCTCATTCCACGACCACGGCCCCCACCAGTGGGGCATTCCCGGGCCCAGTGGCCAGATCGTCCACACTTGAAGCATTCATTACTGCTCATGGCTGCAGCCAGATCTTCAAAACATTAAAAGTGACAACATTAAACCACTTGAAATTACTTTTAGCTTTTATTCCCCGTTTAGTGTATTTCTGGATAATTATTCTGGAGAAAAAAAATATATTTTTTCTAACCAATATATTGGTTAGAAAAACAATCACATAACTATATATGTAGGCATTATATATCTATTATGAAATATGTTAAAAGTGAAAAACACATTGAAAACATGTATTTTCATAAAACTTGTGATCTTTACAATCATTCAGATTATGCATACATGTTAATCCAATTATTAATGAGATGGCGGGACTTACAGGGTTAGTATCCATGAATATCCATTATTAGAAATAATTAGTAATACCTCATTCCAGGTCCAACTTAATGGACATTTTCATGGTTACAAGCCAGTAAACTTTATTGTGGGCAACTGGAAGTCATTTACTGGTTATAAAATTGGAATAACCCAGTGGGGCTGTAGTATGGATTCTGGGAGTGGATGAAGAAACGCTCTCCTCTGCGCCCTTAACACCTAACACGGTGCCCTAATGAAACTGCAGCACTACGCGCTGATTCAGTATTTAGAGCAGACGCGCTAGAAGAAATGCAGGCACTTTTGTCTCTAGATGGCAGGGTATGCTAAAAATATTAGAAAAAAGACAAAGAGGAACACCAAAGTAAAATGCCAGTAGCACTGGGACCACTTTTTCCCTCTTCTATTCTCCCATTTCCAAATTTTTCTGTAATTTTACATTTAAAACAAGGTTACTTGGAATTTCATAGCAGACCCCTTTATTGGTTATTGTTTCAAAATAAAAGCAAAACTCCAACTAAAGCAAATGCATTTTACACTTCTTATGTAACAACCTAAAAATAAGCACGGGCTATTCCTAGAATAGAATGGAATGGAATGGAATGGAACAGAATGGAACGTTGCAGGACAAAGTCCCAGTAAAGTCGCCTTTAAAAAACAAACTAGTTAAAAACAACGTAACCTTTACATTTCCACACTTGCATAGCTCAACATTTTTACCCTTAATTCCAGTGTCAAACAATGGTAAACAAAGTTTTAAAAACACGTTGTAGAGAAATCTAGTGACTAAAAATTATGCTCAAGTTGCAAGTCTCCATCATCAAATATTGAAAAGAACTCATTACCTATCCCAACTCTGCAATCAGAGCCAGGATAAATCTTCAGAGGAGTCTTTCTACCAGCCCTTGCCACTTGCCATATAAACTTATTATCAAAAGGGGGTAGGGGAAAGTGCCTGAATGCATAATGCACATTTCTAGTCAGATGAAACCAGTCAGCGAAGATTAAAAACGTATTCTTGCGAAATTACATTTGCCTTCTTATACGGGTGCTGGCATTCTAAGTCATGTGGAGGGCTGGTTTCCACCAGAGAGAATACTCATGACTAAAAAACGAATGGCACATAAAATGATCACAGAAAAAGGCAGCTTACGGTATGTCGTCCTCCCCTCAACCCCATTTTCATTTTGCATCTTCTGTTTACTCGGGACCAATTTGAGCACATTCACTCTTGGTCCCAAGGAGTTCTTTGCACAAACGATCACTTCCTTTCACAAGGTAATCCAGGCAATTTGACAAGTTCTGAGTATTTTATAATTTTCTTATTTCAATAAGATACTTATCTTTTAGAAAAATGACAACCCAATATTCAATATGCATTGTCAAAGATAAAGAAATTATAGCTCCGGGCAACCTCCCTTTTAGACTGCTGCTTTAAAAGGACCTCTTGTTTCATAATGGTAAAGTACAAAGGAAATACGTTACAATGAATCATCAGATGTTTATCAGTGTATCGAATAAAGACAGCAGTTAAAATTTTACGTTTACTTTTAGCCTACAAATATTAGTTTAAAAAAATTAGCTACTCAAGAACTGATAAGCTAAGTGTGGATTTTCCATGAACTGTTTCTCTCCCTTTGGCCAAGCCGACCTCAATCAGCTGGTCTACATTTACTCCTTTATGACAGAGAGCTCTTTAGTAACATTAACCCAACTGATTCCCACTATGTTTTTAAGGCACGCTACTGATCCTGGTACTCATCTTACATACAAATGTACTTAGTTCTAAGGTCTTTAGAGAATGGCATGCTATTATTCCTTAGGAAAACTAGAGGCGGTAAGACAAAGCTGCAAATCTATCATGGCTCCCTGACTCCCACTGCTCTAGGCTGCGAGTGTGCAGCACTGTCCTGCCCTGCCCCCACCTCTCCCGCTTGTCACAACCTTTTGCAGCCTTCCAGGGCCAACTCTATAAAAGAGCCTGACCACACCACCCAGCCTGGAGCTATCCTTAATCCCTAGTAAGACCCAGGGCACTCTGCACTACCATTTTGCTTTTTATCATATTCCTTCAGAGCAGACGCCGAGTAATTCACCTTTGAATCATAATACCCCATACAATTATCCTTTTAGTAGCAGTATAACAGTATTTTTAACTGCTGGGTTGTTGTTATTGGTTTTTTTTGGCGGTGGGGGGGGGCACCAATAGTCATTTGCTGAATGAAACCAATTGTGCTTCTGGTACAGACCCGATCCAATCCAGAAAGTACTGACAATAAAACACCTGAATTCTTGCTATCACAAGAGGTGCTGCAGCATTAATTTAAAGTAGTGATGCTGAGAATTCCCTGGTGGTCCAGTGGTTAGGACTCAGCGCTTTCACTGCCGGGGCCCGGGTTCGAACTAAGATCTCACAAGCCATGTAGCACCGCCCAAAAAAAAAAAAAAGTTAACGATGTATTTTCAACTACATACTCAATAAGGATTGAGTACAATCACTCTAAATTCAGTATGTATTTCAGATTGTCTAGTAAAATCCCCACATGTAACTGAGAAATTTTTACTCCTGGTCACTAAAATCAGCAACTGAGCCAGGACCCCTAACTTGCCATCCAGAGTCTCAGCAACATTTTATGGAATGCTACAAAACATATATACGCATTTAAAAAACAAATACCGTATTTTCACTGTTGCCAGGCAGTAGGAGAGCATATTTTTCTCTTCCTTTTGCTGCTAAAAATCATTTCTGTATCTACACCCATGTATCCTCACACAGTATAAAAAGACTTGGGGACTATAGGGCTAACCACTTAACCGAGCTTAACCACTTGCTGCGTTACCTCAAGACACCTGACCCCTCTCCTGTCTTGAGGAAGATAAAACTGATCTGTAACGAGATTACTACCAGGTGCCTTGTGCTTAACAGGTGCTCAATTTTAAAAAACGTATGGATATATGTACACTGCTCACAGTTATTCCTGCCTTTCCACTCTTCTCCCAGTTAAGTTGGATTGTAGACAGATAGATGAGCACTCAGTCCAGGGAATTCCCTGGTGGTCTAGTGGTTAGGATTCTGGGCATCCATCCTGCAAGCCGCACGACACAGCCAAAACAAACAAACAAAACCAACCTACACAGCAGGCTTGAAGTGGGCCCAACTCTGCTTATACTCAAGCTTCTCATCTCATAAAATCTACTTCCTGAGGGGAATGGATTAAAAGGGTGAATTCCTAATGACTTCACATTTTCAACAACAGGAATCAGGATCTGTTTCCATTTCGATTGCTGTGTATTGAATTTTCACTGACATAAATCACACGTAGAGATGTGGTAGGAGCACAAGGCATGCCAGGCAGCAGGAGGAGTAAGGCAGTCGAGATACGGTTTGCAAAGACGCACTGTGAGGCCGTGTAAGCCAAGCTATGAGGCCTCTTTTACAGGTACTGCACTCGTCTAGGCTTTAAGGCTTAAATCCTGGAATTGGTACCAAAACGCAAATGGTAATACAAATGTCTTCGTGAATGTAATTCTACCATATTTTTGACACTAAGAACAAAGCCAGTAAACTACTTAAACCTTAACGGCACACGGTCAAGACTAACAATGCGTTTCGACGACTAAGAGACCATGACTCTATAAATACATTTAAAATAAGTAGCAACAGGCAAGGCGGGAGTGGGGAGCGTGACATAAAGCAGTAGATAAGGATCGGGTTGGATTGTTTTCCTAACACAGCCACATCGACTCACATTTGCTGTGTCTCCAGTCACCTTCCCCAAACTCAGGGTTACCCGACTCATCCACGTTGACCTAAACTGCACTGAGACCACAGTGGAGCTTCTGCCCCTTGAATGCACTCACCCATTTTTACACCCTAATAAGTTGGTTCAGAGTTCCAACATGGTACTGAAACACTTCCAACTGTTGAAATAAAGATAAACTGCAGACAGAATGGAAGGAAGCAAGTTATACTGTGCACTACCTGCGTTCTGGCCAGAATACTGTAGAACAGAGTACAGTCCTGGGAGCAATGCTACTCACACCCATTTCTGCCTGCTCTGAAGGGTTTTAATCAGTAGCTGAATACCTACTATAAGTCAAGGATTGATAAACACATTATCTGTAATCCCTACAACCTTGCTAGTCATGTATTCTTGTCCCCATTTTACAATAAGGAAACTGAGGATCTGAGACCAAATGACTTCCCAAAGCTATACGGGTTGGCCACAAAGTTCGCTCGGGTTTTCCCGTAACATCTTATTTCTAGAACTTTTTGGCTAACCCTACAGAAAGTTCTACACTTGATCTTAGCCAAAAGGCTGAGAAGCGATTCAGAAAGTTCTAGAGTCAGGATTTCAACAGTTGGCTCCAAGTCCTCTGCAGAGGCTTTTGTTAGGTTCAAGTGATACTGTACATGAAAATGCTATCAGAAAAGCACACCAATTTAGAGAAGTCAAAATAAAACTAGAATCGATACGTTTCTAAAAATCCACACCCACGAATGAATTTAAAGCCACTTTAGATTTTAACCTTCTTCCTGAGGCAGAACTTAGGAGTGTCACCACAGACCAAAGACTGGCAACCTGACTTCACTAGTTAACACCCTCATCTGCAATTATGGAGCAACTCCAGGCGACCACCCTACTGCACTCTGTCCTGATTAACAGAGCCCATCCACTCACAGCGTGAATGCTGGTAGCCACA